AACCAAAATGTCAAGTAAAGACGTGTGTATATCCGATTGAAGTATAATAATATATGAATGCATGTGATTGGGGAATCGGGTAGTTGGCATGGCATAAGACTTTATTCCGGAGGGCTGGGATATGGTTGAGCGTGTGATTGTAGCGGGTTTGAGGTGATATCCCGATGGTTGCATTGTTGAGATCTCCTCTTTATGATCTCTGACCCGGGTCGGGTTTCATATTGAGGAGGCATGATTTTGATTGATTTCCCATGGGCAGAGCTTGGAGCCGATGATACACGTGATAGTCTTGAGTGATTCGGCTATCACGGGGTTGAGGAAATCCTACGGTTACACTGTAACCGCGCCAACGTTCCACTAGCTATATAACGGGATCGGGATTGAATGATTCTCCCGGCAGAGACTGGCAATACATTTACCCGTGACTCAGGATTGAGCGATTCTCCCGACGAGGTTATGCGAAGGAACTCAAAAAGACCTGAGCTCGGGTCCAATAAGTTTCTCCGTGGCGGACGGCCGGCGAGAGGTTGTCAGTTGTGTACTGACTTCGCTCGACATAGTCGGTGGTGGCCTGGAGGAGGCACCTGGCGCTCTGGTATCGAGAGGTGACATCGGTATCAGAAGGGATGGTTGATGTATTCTGTTTTATGGAGTAGGGATTTGGATGACGTATTTTATTGTTCCGGCGATTGCCGAGGAGCGGGGGATGTGCATTGCACATGGAGCATCCTTTCTCACGTGTGTGATGCACACGTGGAGACGATTTGACGGTGCGGTTATTACTGAGAGACCCGATGGGTCGAGCTATGACTTGTGTACATATGTCCTGGACTGGTGAGACCAGATCCGGTGTGGTGTCCTATGTGTGCGATGCACATAGAGATGATTTGACGGTTATGTCCGATGATACATCATGCGGACTGAGTGTGTGTGATAAGTGAATTACTTGTGCGATTGAGTGAACTGTGTTTCATGGCATGAAGTGTGTATATATGTATACACTTATATCTAGTGTGTGTATAATATTGCTTGTGTTTAGCCATTTGCAATTTGAGTATGATCTTCGGGTCTAACCTGAAGTACTCACTAAGCACGTAGCTTATGGACGTTGTTATACAATTTTTGCGTATTGGCAGCAGCAGGACGAGGGTGCTGGTGACGCGTGAGGAGATATCTGGATCATGTATACTTTTGTTTCTTTGGACTTATGTTGGTTTGTACGGGTGGTGACTTGACCCTGTATTATATTATAGTTACCGTCCTTATGTTGGCGTGTATACTACTGTACGTGGGTTTGTAAACATATACTTGTTTTTTCGCTGCGTGTGTAATAAAATAAAATGTTTTTAAATTCCCGTTATTTTATTATATGTTTGAGCGTCCATGTGGCACAACTCGTGAGCGGGAGACGGGTTACGGGTGTCACAGCTTGTGGTATCAGAGTAGTTCTTTCCACGGGAAGGAATTGCTTGAAACCCACAGCAACACTGTTTATGATTTCAAACGATTTTTGAAAGGAAGGTTTTCAAACGTATCTATACATGATCCTGAAGTCACCAGAACTGAAATTTTTTCCCTTGTCTGCAGTGTACCGATGCCTCCGAGACGTGGTAGACCTGCCCGTTTGCCGGTGAGGGAAGAACCCCCTCCACCCGAGCATGTACCACCAGAGTTCCAGCAGCAGTTCTTTGATACGATGTGGCGTCAGTACCAGATGAACATGGCACATCAGGCTGGAGCTAGACCAGAGGGTATTCCACCCCCACCTCCACCGGGACCACCAGGGCATCTAGCCCCATTTGTGGTGGACTACCTGCCCTTAATACGGGAACTTCGGATGATGGGGACACCGAGGTTCGAGGGTACCCAGAGACCTGAGATTGCGGAGGATTGGCTGATTCGCATCTCCAGGGATCTGGATTATGTCAGATGCCCGCTGCTGTACCGGGTAGAGATCGCGAGCCACCATCTGTATGGAGAAGCACTTCATTGGTGGGAGGAAGTGGTTCGTGAGGCTGCACCCGGATATCAGTTTACTTGGGAGGAGTTCCGGGCACGTTTTGAAGACAAGTATTGTCTGAAGGGAGATCAGGACCACCGTATTGTGGAGTCCTCCATCTGGAGCAGGGTGATCGCACTTTAGCTGCGTATGAGGCAGAATTCACCCGTCTGTTGCGATATGGGGCACATTTGGTGCCAACTGAGAGGATGAAGATCCAGAAGTTTGTGACTGGATTACGCCCATATCTGCGTAGGAGGATAGAGATCCAGGAGTATCCTACGCTGAGTAGGTATATTGCGCAGCTGACAAAGCTAGAGAGGACAGAGTATGAGGAGCAGCAAGAGGCAAGGAACCGAGAGAGGAGTCCTATGAGACGAGTTACATTCACTCGTCCAAGGAGTTCCAGACAGGTGATGCAGCCTCGTGATAAGGGGAAGGCGCCAGCATTTCATCCGGCAGCACCACCGCCATCAGCACTGCCAGGACCGCGCAGATCTTGCCCACGCTGCGGGCGAGATCATGTTGGACCATGCTGTACTGGGTACACTTGTTACCGTTGTGGTCAACCTGGCCACTTTGCTAAACCGTGGACCACGCCCTCAGCCACCACGTAGAGGGGGAGTAGCACCACGGGTATATGCACTTGCTGCGGAGGAAGAAGTCCTGGGCGACGGAGCTTACTTTGCTCAGGAGACAGTCACCATTGATGCTGTCGTCGAGGGTGACCCCGAGCAGTTAGACGCTGCTACCATCACAGGTATCATACATCTTCATGGTACTGCATGCCACGTTTTGTTTGATACGGGAGCTACACATAGCTTCCTAAGTTTGAGTATCGTAGAGGACTTGGATGTGATGGATATGGATACAGCTGAGAGATATAGAGTGCATACCCCTTCGGGAGAGATCCTGCCAGTGACCGGGGTGTTACGCGGGATCCCTCTAATACTCTGTGGAAGGAATCTCTTAGCTGATCTGATTATAGTACCTATTCAGGGGTATGATTTGATATTGGGAATGGATTGGTTGACCGTGCATCAGGCACATATTGACTGCCGCCGGCGGGTGATTCAGTTTGCAGATGCGGCAGGGAAGTTTGAGTTTATGGGAGACAAGTCCGGGACTGTTCCAACAACCAAATCAACCCAATCCGAGGAAAATATCCATGACAAAGGGAAAGGATTAGCAACATCTTCGGGATCAGGTCCTAAAGGTAACAAATCAACTCCCGTTGAATTACGTTCACGTGAGATTGTTTGCTACAAGTGTAGGGGACGAGGACATTATGCAAGGGACTGTCCAAACAATCGTGTCATGATTCTCACGGATACGGGAGATTATGAGTCCCTGGACGAAGAGGAGGTTGATGATGTTGATGAGAACATAGAGTATCCGGACAGCGGAGAACTCTTGGACACAAGGCGAGTTTTGAGCACAATGACAAACCCGGAAGAAACTGCCCAAAGAGAGACAATCTTCCATAGTCGATGCACTATTAGAAACAAGGTATGTAGCCTAATCATTGATAGTGGTTCTTGTACTAATGTTGCAAGTGCATACATGGTTAAGAAGCTAGGATTGGAGACCGAGAAACATCCACACTTATATAAGCTTCAATGGCTCAACAACCAAGGGGAACTCAAGGTAAATGAGCGGGTCAAAGTGTCATTTAGCATTGGACGTTACCAAGATGAGGTAATGTGTGATGTTGTTCCAATGCAAGCGGGGCCCATACTTCTTGGATGCCCTTGGCAATTTGACCGAGAAGTGAAACACGACTGATATGATCCCAAGATCGATAGATTTCCCGATAGGCGGTGGATGGGTTCCCTAAATCCCTAAACAACTCGCAAACAAAACCTAAGCAAGCGTTCGAGACGAACGGTCTTAAACCCCGAGTGAATCTGGTTTAGAAACGTAGGGTGATCGAAGACGCCACAAGTGCTGTGCGGAATCAACACTTGATAAGTCAAGTTTGAACGCCACAGATGAAGATCCGATAAGTTCAGAAATTAGTTCTAAAAGAACTCTAAGAGAAACCTCTCAAAATATATTTCAAAATTGTTGTTTACAATCTGATTTTGATCTCTATTTATAGAGAATAACACATGAAAGTTTGTAAAATAAACATAAATGAATACAAACAAAGAGGTTTGAATGTGTAGTCTTCAAGAAAATCATTATTGACTTTGTGGTCTTCAAGAATGAAGTTGGAAAGTCACCTTGACCAGATTTAATGCTAATTTTCGTCCTCCCTTTTGGGCTTGACTTTTGGGCTTGATTTATGGGCCTTCCAGAATGAAATCAAGTGGATAATGGGCTGAACTTGTGGTTGATCCAAGTCCATGCACTTTCCCATGTATTCTTGACCCAAACATTCAAGAATAAGGCAATTTGGCACAGCTTGTAGCTTCTTGCCTCGTATGCCCATCATCGGTCCTATTGCCTCGGTGAATTCTCCCGCTTTGTCCATCCCGAAGAAAGCTTCCTATCCAGCTCGAATGGGTTGCCTTTGATATCCCATCATTCTCCTCTTCTTAAGAAAGATTTGTCCTCAAATCTGATTAGCTGCAACAAACAACATAGAATGTTGAACTAACACAAAACTCACTTGGAAGCTCGAGTTGGTAAGCATTGTTGTTGATTTTTTTTAAGAACTTTGAAATTGCCAACTCCCCTGGACTTCAACTTTGATTTCCTCTCTTTACGCATGTGCACTCAAACCATGTCTCCTGGTTTAAATACAACCTCTTTTCGCCCTTTGTTTGCTTGCTTGGCGTATTATTCCAATCCTCCTTTTGATCCCAGGATCAAATATAGCATTTTGACATGAACCAAAAGATAGATATACAATACCGAACCCCATAAGGGTTGAAAAATCTTCGATACGCCCAGATTTGATGAGTAAAAACACATCATTTGCATCTTCTCTTTCAGAATTTCCATCCTCTATCAAATCAGCTCCAATACCTACACCAGAAGAATTGCATTCTACCTCGAAAGCTTTAGAAAAACGAGGTAGAGACAAGAGTGAAGAATGAGTGAGTTTTTCTTTCAAAAGTTGAAACGCAGCTTCTTGCGCATCTCCCCACTTAAACCCGATATTCTTCTTGATAACTTCTGTCAATGGTGCATCTATGATGCTAAAGTCTTTCACAAACCTCCTGTAAAAACTTGCAAGTCCATGAAAACTCCTCACCTCACCAACTGTCCTCGGACATGGCCAATCCCTTATGGCTGCGATCTTCTCTTCATCGACATGAATTCCCTGCTCACTAACCACACCTAAAAACACCAATTTGTTAGTGCAAAACGTGCATTTCTTGAGGTTAGCAAACAATTGCTCCTTTCGCAGAACATCCAAGACATATCTAATGTGTTCAATATGTTCAACAAGGTTCTTGCTATATATCAGGATATCATCAAAATACACAACCACGAAACGTCCTAGAAAATGTCTAAGAACGTGATTCATTAGTCTCATAAACGTGCTAGGTGCATTTGTTAAGCCAAAAGGCATAACCAACCATTCATACAACCCGTGCTTTGTTTTAAAGGCTGTTTTCCACTCATCACCTTCTTTCATGCGTATTTGATGATAGCCACTTCTCAAATCAACCTTAGAAAAGAATTTTGAACCATGCAACTCATCTAACATGTCATCAAGTCTCGGAATAGGATGGCGATACTTTACCGTGATTTGGTTGACCGCACGACAATCAACACACATTCGCCACGTACTGTCTTTCTTTGGTACAAGAATCACCGGCACGGCACATGGTGACATGCTTTCTCGGATGTGTCCCTTCTCCATCAGATCCGAAATTTACCTCTGAAGCCCTTTGGTTTCCTCGGGATTGGTTCTGTAGGCTGCCTTGTTCGGAATACTTGCACCGAGAATGAAATCGATTTGATGCTCGATTCCTCGTAATGGTGGCAGTCCATTTGGAATCTCCTCCGAAAAAACATCATCATATTCCTGCAGAAGATCAAGAACAACACTAGACAAAGTAGAAGTGAGTTTGTTAGTGTCCAAAAGTGCCTCTTTGTACAAAAGTACAAACATAGGCTGGTGCGAAAGCAATGCTTTCTTAACCTCTCTCGCTCTCATGAAGAAATTTGTGTTTGATCTCACGGGTATACTCTCAAAGGCTTTTGACTGGGTTTTTCTCAAATCCGCACCAATTTTTGAGTGAACTACCTCATGGTCACACAATTTCTTCTCATTCTTGATCATTTGGAGTTGATCTTCGTACACTTCTTTAGGAGTCAAAGGAACCAATCTGATTTGCTTCCCTTTGAACTCAAAAGAATATTTGTTGGAGTATCCATCGTGTTGAGCACGCTTATCAAACTGCCATGGCCGCCCAAGGAGTAAATGACCAACTTGCATAGGCACAACATCACATAGCACTCCATCTTCGTATTTTTCCAATACGAAATGGAACCTTTACTTGCCTATGAACCTTCGTTTCTCCACTGTCATTCAACCACTGAAGTTTATATGGCTTTGGATGCTTCTGAGTAAGCAACCCTAGCTTTTCAACCAAAGAATTGTTCGCCACGTTAGTACAACTTCCACTATCAATGATAAAGCTACAAACCTTGTCCTTAACAACACATCTTGTATAAAAGATGTTTTCTCGCTGAATCTTCTCCTCTTCTTTTGATCGAAGATTCAAAACCCTTCGAGTCACCATCAGTTTACCTGACTCAGCCTCTTGCTCATCTACATCACTCTCCAAAGACGGCATTGAATCAGATTCACCCTCAGCTTTGGTTTCAACCTCTCCGTTATCACGAACCACCAAAGTTCTTCGATTCGGGCACTTATTTGCGTAGTGTCCTCTGCCCAAACACTTAAAACATCGAATATCTCGAGTACGTGATGGAAGGGCATCAGACCTTGCTTTCTTGGCTGAGAAGTTTCAGGTTTGCCCTCGGGTTTTGCTGCAACTTTTGAACCAAAAGGTTGCTTATCTTCTTTGTGGAAATGTGGTCGAGCATTGGAAGAGTTGGAACCAAATTTCTGATGGGTTTTTCTCCTTCTTTTGATTTGGTTCTCGAACTTGATCGCAAGTTGTAGCAACTCCTCCATCTCAACATAATGTTGAGTCTCCACACGATCTTGGATCTCTTGATTCAGCCCTCCAATAAATCTGTCCATAGTTGATTCCCTGTCCTCATCAACATTGGCTCGCAACATTAACATTTCCATCTCTTTATAATACTCCTCGACACTACGGTTACCTTGCACCACACGTCTCAAACGTTGGAG